TGGCCCAGGCTGCCCAGGGAGGCTGTGGAGTCTCCTTCTCTGGAGATATTCCAGCCCCGCCTGGCCGCGGTGCTGTGCAGCCTGCTGTGGGTGACCCTGCTTGGGCAGGGGGTTGGGCTGGGTGACCCACAGAGGTCCCTTCCAACACGTGCCATTCTGTGATTCTGTGATGCTTTCAAACAGGACTTCCCCTCGGGCTCGGTTTTGAGCCAACCCGATGAAAGCCGTCGTCTCTCCCTCGCGTCGGGGCGGGCAGCGCGCTCGGTACCGCTGCCCTTCTCGCCTCTATTTCATGCCTCTGCGATTCGGGGTAAACACACCAGGTACCGGCTCTTCCACGCTGCGGCTGCCTCCCCAGGCAGGGAGGCGAGGAGGAGCTGCGCGGGATGCTCCGACACGGAGCAGGCGATGAGAACCAGGGCCCGGCGGACGGCGTCACGAGCTCCGCTCCTTGTTGGCCAAATATTTGCAGAAGGGTGAGTCACGAGAGAGAGGAGGGAGAGGCAGCCCGGGGTCGGCTTCTCCATGAGGGCCGCATCTGCTTGGTAAACTCACAGCTCTGTTTCACGCAGCCTCCAGCCGCAATTCTGCGTTGAAGCCACGCAGCTCACTGCGGAAGGGGTCAGGAATGCGCGGGGTAAGCCAGGAGGCTTTAGCAGCCGGTTCGGGAGGGGGAAAAATTCAATTTAAATTCAATTATCTTACTTTGTCTACCAAATTCTCCCGCCACAGGGCTACGGGTATCTGCTTGCTAAGCAGCCAGGCACCAGTGTTAAGCGGCACTGACGGGGAGCGACACAGCAAACCCTTCCCACAGCAATCGTTGGGGACACTCTGTGCTCACAGGCACGGGGGTCCTCATCCCGCCACCCACCTACAAGGCTTTCCAAACCACGCCGAAGCTGAAGCTTTTACACCCCACCTAAGATGAGATTCTGCAGCAAATCCAAAGGAGGTGGATGCTCCCGGGGCACGTCGGCACAGCCGGATCCTGAAACCCTCCCAACGGGGGGCTGAAGGATTCCTGTTTGGCTCCGTTTTGCCAGTAACAGAGCTGGGGGAGGCGGTTTGAGGAACGATTCACAGAGCCTCCACAGAGCTTAGGGATCTGTTAGATGATCCAACCCGACCTCCCATCTATCACAGGTCGTTAAATAGTGCTTCGTTACTCCTGGGAACGGGAGCCAAAACGTCTCATCCAGAAAGGCGCCCTGTCCTGATTTAAAGGCACGAAGAGACGGAGGACCTGCCACTTCCCCTGCTGGCTTGTTTCAGCGGGTTACTCACCCTCTCTCCTGCCTCCGGCTTCTAAATTTAAAGATTTGCTGGCTCGATCTTCCAGACATTACTACTTGTTATTTCTTCTTTGGGGCAGAACACGCCCAGCAAGACCCGGTGCCCAGGAGAATACTCTGGAAGTCCAAACACCTCTTCATTTCGCAAGCGAGCCATATAGATTCCAGCTCAATCTGGGCAAAACACGTCCTTGAGCCTCCTGAAGACCATTTGTCTGGTTTTTGGTGTGTCCCCTCCCGCTGGCTTCCAAGCTGAAACGCGAACACTGGACGCAGACCGCAACACCCCAGCACAGACCTTGTCCACGTCAAGCACCAAGATACAAACGGTAAATTCAGGGGAAGGCCCCTTGATCTCCTTCTGCCTCGGCTACCGGGGTGGACAGCCGCGTTGCACCTCCAGACAGCTTTTTCTCATGCATAATCGTGGGCAAAAGCGAAGATCTGATGCCCAGGCAGCCCAAATCACCCATGGGTAAGCCCGAGTTTGGGCTCACCTGCAAGTTTTACCAGGCTTTGCTTCGTGCAGAGCAGAAAATAGGTGGAAGTTGTCAAATATTTAGAAGGTGAAACTGAAATCTTGCCACCCTGGTGTACAAAAGGAGGACAAAACATTTTCAACACCCTCTGGACAGCAAGCCCAGGGGGAATGGCTGCTCCGAGCCAGCCGGACGCAGCCTCCGCGGAGCACGAAGAGAGCACGCGCGTGTCTCAGGGGGACGGAGGGAGGGGACGCGATGGTCGTTCGGCTAACACGGAGCCAGGGCACTCCGAAATGCCAGAGGGGAGGG